ACTGACTCTCATGTGTATTTTACAGCATTAGTTGAGAGATTTTTTTTCCTTGAGAAAATTTGTCATGTACTGTACCTGATATATATAAAAAATAATCAATATTGAATCGAATCGCAAGCTTGTGAATGAGAATCTAATCGAATCGTGAAATTTGTGTCAAAACCCAGCCCTAGATGTAATGCATGATAAAGCAAAAAGGCATCCAAAAGTGAACTTAATGCATTGTTCCTTCTGAATGGTATTGATGTTGAATTGTTGCAGCACATAAATATCAGCAAATGGTATTAAATAAAAGGGTAACTTCTAACCCCTGTAGTTTTGATTTGAACAGAAATACCTGATGGTGATTGGGGTGGATGTTCACCATGACGTAAGCAAGAAGAGCAGATCTGTCATGGGCTTTGTAGCAAGTCTCAACAGGTAAAACCACCCAAAATAAAAGGCTGCATTTATTTGATCAAAAGTACAGTAAAAAAATAATAAATGTGAGATATTACAATTTAAAATATCTTTTGCATGATCCTTCAAAATATTTAACTTTTTTCAGGATTCTTTGAGTATAAAGTTCAAAAGAACAGCATATTTTTAAATATCACTTTTTGTAATATTATAAACATACAAAATCATACTGATCAATGCGTCCTTGCTAAATTAAGGTATTATTTTTTTTATAAAAAAATTATTCTTAATGATCCCAAACGTTTTAATGATAGTATTATAAACATTTGCAAACATCAGTGCAAGTGCACTGATATGCAGCACAGGGACTAATTCATTTTTGTGAATGTGTAACAGTTTATCAAGAAAGAAAACCTCTATGACAGGTTCTGTCCACCTTATTTTTCAATGCTGAAGTAAGCTGTTTTCTGGAAATGTGTTTGACTTCCGGTTCATAAGCCGCTGTAGGGAAATAACGAGAAGAATAATAGTGCAGTAAACGGTAAAACTGTTTGCACTACATTGTGTTCATAATTAAGATAATACATTTTAAGTAATATGTGACCCTGGACCACAAAACCAGTCATAAGGGTAATTTTTTTAAAATTGAGATTTATGCATCATCTGAAAGCTGAATAAATAAGCTTTCCATTGATGTATGGTTTGTTAGGATAGGAGGACAATATTTGGCCGAGATACAACTATTTGAAAATCTGGAATCTGAGGGTGCAAAAAAATCTAAATACTGAGAAAATCGCCTTTAAATTTGTCCAAATGAAGTCCTTAGCA